GAGAGAGAGACAATATGAGGCTGAGGCTAGTGGTAGTAGACAAACTCAACAGATTATGTGGAAAAAACATGGGCTTTGCCTATTAAACACAAGCTAAAAACATTCACTTGGAGGTGATAGCTGAGATAATTTCTTGGGGACAAAATCTAATTTGAAGCATAAAGGAGTGGATGGAGATGAAATTTGCAGCAGGTGTGTAAGTGAAAAAGAAGATATGTAACATATATTTCTTCAGGTGTGAGAGGGCCACTAGAGTATGGAAGGTAGCATGGTTTGAGTGGGAAAAGATGCAACATAAAAGCCTGATGTTTCAAGAGTGATGGAATGATCTTTGCGCTATTAACAAAGCTCATACTGTCAACATATCTTTTATAGTGGTTGTGGCGAAACCGGAATAGCTGTATCTTTAGAGGTGCAAAGATTGATGAACTGTTGGGCTCAGATGCGCAAATGCGGAAGATGTAAATTAAAATATCTAGGTAAAATGGTAAACAATAATCTCAATCCCAGCAACTCAAGAATGACAAAAGAAAATTTCTTGCAATAAAACCAGAATAATTCTTTTCTGATGTGGAAGTTCAGATTAAACTGCGACCACAGAGCATACTAAGAATATCCCAAATAAATAAAATATGCAAGAAATAAGACACCAAGATTTAACGTGGAAAACCCTCCAAATAGAGGAAAAAAACCACGGGACAACCTCCGAACAATTCCACTATATTTTCAAGATAATTACAATATCTTTTCACACTCCCTTACACTAGAAATGTAAAATATAGTGACCCAGTGAGAACCCCACTCTTAAACAAAGAGCAATAGAGTTGATACCCAACCCAGTGTATTTTTTCCACACTCACAGGATTTACTCAAACACTCTATTTTTATCTCACTGAAAAATAACACTCACTCCAGAAACTGATGTTGTTTCTGCTCTCTTTTTCTTTCTTCTTCTCGGTGCTCTCTTCAGCACTTCAGACACTGCTATTTATACTGAAGAAAGGTTCATGACAACTCATTTTTTTCAATTATGATTGGCATCTCATTTGCTGTATTTTCTTTTAAACAATAGTTGGCTTTTGTTTTGTTGTGGCTGGCCACCATGTGAAACTTTTGTGTGTGTCTGTATACCACATTTTTTTTTTTCTTATTTTTCTCTTTTGGCTGGACTTACAATTCTCCCCCTCCAGCCAAAGAGTTTCTGCAAGTCTCACATGCATTCCATGCCAATCAACTCGGCACAAAACTGAAGTTTTCCCCCTGTTACAACTTTCGTCATCATATCAGCAGGATTTTCGTCAGTGTGAATCTTTTCCAACTTAAACTTTGTTCTTCCACTGCTTGACGTAGCCAATGATATCTGACATCAATGTGCTTCGTGCGAGAGTGGTACATCGCATTCTTACTCAAATCCAATGCGCTCTGACTATCACAATGGATATCGTACCTTTCCTGCTTCATTCTCAATTGCTGAAGAAACCTCTTCAACCAAAGCATTTCTTTGCCTGCTTCTGTCATTGCAATATACTATGCTTCAGTAGTCGACAAGGCAACAGATTTCTGCAATTTAGATTGCCAAGATACAGCTCCCCCTGCAAATGTAAACACAAACCCTGAAGTAGATTTTCTACTATCCAGGTC